GGGTCCCAAGTCCGCAGACCTTTAACCTCCTCAGCTCACCTATAGTGGTGAATGTCTTCAAAGGACTTGGTGTTGTTGATGGCAAAGACGCAGAGGAAGCCTTCGCCTGTCCTCATGTACTGATCCCTCATGGCGCTGTACTCCTCCTGACCTGCAGTGTCCAGGATGTCCAGCAGACACGTCTCTCCGTCGATGACCACCTGCTTTCTGTAGGAGTCCTGGAAGGTGAGGAGGTCAGAGAGCGATCAGACTGAGGAGGGCTGAGCGACCACGTGGCAGCTTCATAAAACACCAATATGATAGGGTTTAACTATTTATTTATAAGGTGATTCAGGTGTGAAACATCCGTGGTACAATAGAGAACTCATCCTTGAAGGGGATTCCTGTTTCCAGCATGTCCAGGTCCTCGACTCCACTGCATCCAAACACTCGGCTACACTCAATCCGATCCAACACAAACAATTACTGTCTGATTCTATGAGCTGCCACACTTCCAGATGCCACCTGGTATTTAAATAATCCATCGCAGCGCTCCATCAATAATTTAAAGAAGCCATAATGAGACCGTGTTGGCTTTGTATAGGTCGGCCCACTGAGACGGCAGCCGCGCAAACACGCACGGAAAGTCATTAAAAACCAGTTAGGCGCCTTTTTAAAGCTTAAACCAGTCGAACCTGTTGCAACTCCTTTTTAAAGAGTACGTTTCTCCGTGTGCCGTGTCCCCCATACCTCTACAGCACACACATTTTATTTACCTCAATGGTGGGGTCGTATTCATCCACAAAGTGGTTCTGGATGAGCTGAATGGTAAGCGCGCTCTTGCCAACGCCTCCAGCTCCCACCACAACCAGCTTATACTCTGTCATGATTCACCTGTGAGGGCAAAAAAAAAGCAGAACATTTATTACATTTCCACAGATCGCCCCATTCATCTCTGGGGGCACCCATCAAGGCCTTAATAGCGCGTTTGTTCAAACCTCTCTGCTCTAAAAATGTTAAATCCTATTGTGGATGGTTAACTCTTTTCGAGCGCTGAATCACCACTTCAAACAATTTTCGCCATCCAGCTTCGTTTACCGCCGGTCGTTTGTGTCTGACGAGCTGTCGGCTTCGCTGGGATTGGCAGGCTGAGGAAACGGTAATGTGTGAACACGGCTTCCAGTGACTAATTCAAAAACCCCTCTACGATTCTTTTAATAACGCCGCTGAATCACTGGAAAATTAGATTTCACACCGTAAAGTTTGTTTTGCTTTTCATTTAGAAAAAAAAAAAGCCCATTTTAGTATTCAACTAGAACCTCGTGAAGGAAACTACAATAATCACAAATGCAATGTGGTGGTTAATTTGCATGAGATTATGTGCCAATGAGGGAAAATAAAACACCTTTTAACTCAGTTTTAAATCATTATCAGCCATAAAAAGGTACATCAAACGCTGAAGAATCCCTTTTACAACATGAGATTACACCATCTTTCCATCCCGTGGGATAAAAATTAACAGAAATAATCAGATAATGAGGTAAAAGAACCAGAGATAATCAAACGTCTGCATCCAGCTGCAGAGTCGGTGGTGTTTTCTGAGCCACACAACAGAAACGAACCCCAGGCAGAAATCCATGACGTTACATTAAGGCTCCAGAATTGACAAGCAACTGGGAGGCTCTGTGCCGTCCGGCTGCTTTGTGGAGCCGTCGATAGTGGCAGCTGGCCTTTTCAGAAGTTACAGAGTGCTCGCTGCCTGTAGTCAGGGAGGAGCTGCACCGACTCTTATGGCCATGTCTAGACAAACAAAAGCCAGAATGTGGTTTGATAGGTATTTGGCCAACAAAGGTACACTTTGTGTTCACAACATTTTTTTTTCCAATGCTCCCTGAAACCATCAAATCCGTGTTATATAGTGAAACCAGGCTGTGATTTACACACCAGGAAGCTGCCTTATCTCTACCTGATACTGACACACCATCCAGGCAGCACTGTGTCTGCCACATGAGCACTTTTTTTCTGCTTATTAGTCAGTGAAAGTGATGAGTGAATGTCCAGTTAGCTGTCATGTCAGATGCACTGGGATGTGGTGGGAGGATGCTGCTGATAATTCACACCCTCGTTTGTGTGTCAGTTATGATGTAGTGGAATTTAAATGGAGGAAAAAAAAAACAAATAGATGCCAGTCATGGTTGTTGACACCATTTTTTTTTCTATTTATCACTAGACAACAAGGTTATATCCAGCTAAGAAATATCACACAAACACAGTGAGAGATCTAATGGAGGTTGATTAGCAGCCATTTAAATATTAGCTTACTTCCAAACTACTTAGCTGAATTAGCCGTGTTTTTTTTTCCTCCTAATAAAGCCCCTGTGTTTTTATCCAAGCAGGCAGCAACACCTGGCTTAAAAGTGGGGAGGAATTTGATTTAAATCCACTGCTGTGTGGCCGCAGGGTCGCCTGAATGCTGTGAACACTAGCTAGCTAGCTTAGCATCGGAGCTTCAGCCCCTATGCCTCAGCCCGCACAAGTAAGCTAACTAGCTAAACTCGCTAGCTTAACCTGACGCGTTTGGACAAAAAACAAAAACTAATAAAATAAACAAAGCGATTAATTTTTGCATTGTGTGCACCCGTGTGCCCGGACACACACTCGCTTATCATTCATTCAAGAGGGTGCAGCTTGTGGAGCCGCCATTGACAGGCTAACCCACAGGTCTGCATTGCAGGGCCAGACGGTAGGTTCACAATTGGGCGTAGTTTGCACTAAAAAACCGAAAATGTCTGTTTCCAGCAGAAGTGTTTCCACTCCACGGCGGACACGGTGACCTGCCAGCCACATTAGTGAACACGACAAAGCCTTAATTATTTTTAAAAAAAAGAGGGGGGGCTCACACATGTAATAATCGGATCCGTTTGTTTTACCTTTTAGCGAAGTGGAGTTCCGCGTCCGAAGTAGCGACCAAAGAAGTCAAGCTGATAATCCTCTCGTTTCACACGATCTCTGCATTTCCTACTTCACGCCAAAAAAACGCCCGCATTTAAGTTCGTCGTTTCACAAGCGAGCGGGAACATGCACGACGACAACAACAAAACAAAAAAAAAAAAAACAAGTGGACAAATTTAATCGATTGAACTTTCCATCTGATCCAGCGTCCGGCCTAGCTGCTCCGGTTTGGCCTCCTTTACGCGAATATGGGCGGATACCAGGGCGCACTTTACCCAGAAAGCATAGCTGGGGATTTCAACCGGTCCGGGCCATATCACTCCTCTGACTGTGTGTGTGTGTGTGTGTCGCAATAACACCTGTAATACTTTTATTTTTATTTTACCATTTATGTGATTGCTGTTTTTACGCACGTTTAATAACACAAATAGCTCCACATACGCCCCCAAATAGCCCGCATCTGTTATTATCTCATGCTTGTGCAGATGTTTATTAGATTTTTTTAATTAGTAAATTGAATTTGAAGCCACCCAGAGTGATTCATGTTCTTACTTTAGTGGTTCTGTGACTGTGCGGGTCATACAGTGTCAGCTCGTCTCCTCCGCTCCAGCCTGCTGCACAGTCAACACAGCCTAGAGGGCGACTCCTCTTTATAAAGGCTCTAAATATAACTGGAATGTGCAGCAGGGACGTCATTCCCAGGCAAGGAAATGATTTGGCAATCCCTTGTCAGTTTTCCCTGCTGTTCGCTGGAGCTCCTCCTGCGCCTCAGAAGCGCATAAAGAGTCATGCGCAAGGCGAAGCGCAGGTTAGTGTTCAAGTATGGAAATGGAAGAAAAGCAGAATTTCTCACTCATAATAATAATAAAAATAATAAATGTCGTTTTGTCCACGAGGCTGTGGCTAAACTGTATGGAGTAGTGAGAGTGGCAAGCTACAAAAATAAATCAATAAAAAAAATTATTTAAAAAAAAAAAATAAAAGTGGAAATAAAAAGAAGAATAAATGAAATAAAAAATAATGTGGCAGTATAAAGCAATATTAATCAAAAATTAATCAATAAAAATAAAATAAAAGTAAAAAGTCGAAATATAAGGACAAATAAATGCAATGATTTAAAAAAAATAATTATTGATTTACTATTATTTTTATTTATGCATTATTATTTCTTTATTTATAATTTTTCTCTTTTTTTTTTATTTCTTCATTTTTTATAACGGCAATTTAAAAGCAAAGGAAATATGTGGAGAAAAACGTGCGCAGAAGGAACTCTAACTACTAACTGCCTGTACTTTTAACTTTTATTAACTTAATTTTTTTGTCTCCATAGTCTGAATTATTTATCATATATATTTATTATTTATATTATTCTATATTATATTATAATTATCTATAATTAATATATATTATGTTATATATTACATTTTATATATTATTTATAATTATTTATTTATTTATTCATATTATTTATGTATCCACAGTGTCTCAACAGTGCCACATATTTATTCTACCGTCTGGCTGCTACTGTGCTCATTCCTAACCATATTTACTTCCTACTGGCTCCTTTTGTAAATATATTTTTATGTTCTTATTTTTTTATTCTTGTATTTTGCACCACTGGAGTTATCTTTTAATTTTGCTGTACTCTGTGTCCGATGACAATAAAAAGCATTCTATCGGTTACTTTATCTAATTTTCTTATCTTTTGTCTTTTTCTGCTGTGCTGGTCAGTGAGATTAGATTAGATTCCTTTATTGTCACACCACGAGATTCACATGCGTTCATGGAAACGGTAAAACAAATTATATTATATTTATAAAATAAACTGAAAAAATGGCAAAACACAGAAAAATACAATCAAAATACAAACCCATCCCCATATATATAAATGCAGAGTGCAGTAAATATAGAAGTTAGTTTTCATTACTCTCTTTAATCTGTGTGTACATTTGTCAGCTTGTCTATATTGATTAATATATTAATCTAATTTAAATAATGTAATTTTGTTCTGCTGTATTTGATCTTTTCAAGTCAATCCATCTTTATTGAATAGGACATTTAAATCAACAACTGTTGCACTGAAAAGCTTTCCGATAGAAAAATAAGCTTGAATTGAGCTCACAACATGACTTAACAAGTTTTATTTATGGTGTGAATTTAGCTGAGTCATTGAGATATCAAAGATTAAAATACTACAAATTATTATAAACAGTACAAATTTACCTGATCACAATACATATTAAGGCTAAGACCCCAAAATCTTATTTATGGTGGGTATTTCCTGAATAATTTAAATATTAAATACTTAAAATACTACAAATGATTATATAAAATACACCTGTACAAGACTACAAAACTATTAAGGCAAAGACCCCACAGTGGAACTATTTTTTTAGATTAACTCGACTAATTTAGAACTAAAGTTGTGAACCTACAAAAATATACAAATAAATATCCATCAAATCCAAGGATTCCCTTGATTTTTTTATTTATTTAAATTATTAGTTTGGTGGTTATTTTGTGTTTTATATCTGATATATATGAATTTCTTTCTTTCTTTCTTTCTTTTTCCAGTAAAGCCCTTTAAACAGCCTCTGTGTGTATCCTGGTGTTACATAAATACGTTTGTTTGTTTTGAGGGACTTAAATCTTCCAAAAACATCGATGGGACTCTAGCAGATATAAAGAGCCTGTAGCCAAATACAGGATGTGTAAAGGAGTATAAAATACAAAAAAAGGTGTTATTTCCATTTATACAGCAGACACACTAGAGGTCACTATTGACTTCTTGTTTTCCAGTTCACTTCAGTTCAGTTTTATTTATATGCAGCTGCAATTCACAATACGAGTAATCACACAGTGCTACACACAGTGAGACAACAGTAATCCCTTTTAAAAGGAAAAAACCTCCAGCAGAACCAGGCTCAGGGAGTGCAGCCGTCTGCCCACACTGGTTGGACAGCAGAGAGAAAACTGACAAAAACAATAAACACTGTGGAGGCTGGTGAGGCCCAAGTCGCTCCGCAACCAGAGATAATTGCAGATTGGACAAACTACAAGAGAGAGAAGACACAAAGACAATGACGTGCAATGGTGGCATATAAATGTAGGAGAAGGTAGTAGAGGGGCGATACTCGGTGCATCATGGGAAGTCTCAAACTCGACTTACCTGGGGCCTGCTGGAGATAGAGTCTGGGTGAGGCTGGGCCGCATCATCCACAAAAAAAGGGTTTCAAGTATTCCGAACAAGTACAACTGATCCAATCTTCTCAATCTTTATTAATAACAACTCAGAACATGAACAGTCTTAATCCTCCTATCTAGTCCTTGCTACCAGAGACCTGGCAGCGCTTCCTCTTACACAGCTGAGCCACATTTGGCTTGAGGGAGGGAAGCATTTGAGACCCTCGGTATGCCTTGAAGATGCTCATCAGTAAGTTCAGAGCTGTACTTTGACTTGTTCATGATGGAGAAGAGCTTTTCACACAGACAGAAAAAAACAAACCAATTAAAGAAAACGCATTTGCACTATCACTGGGTGACAGGATGTGTGTTCCCTCCACTTGGTGACACTCTCGAATCACGTTTCAAGCGACTAACGTTGCTAATTTGTGCTGCTGTCACGAGCCTGAGCTATGGTAGCCCACAACTTATTAAAAAAACATAGAAAACACCCAGGGCAACAACTTGTGCAGGGGCATGTGAAAAAAACGTACAATTGGTCCACGGGCTGCGAGTTTGAGACCCCTACCCTAGCAGCATAACTAACACATAGTTCAGAGGCACCTGAGTCAGTCCTAACCATAAACTTTATCGGTTTAAAACCTAAACTGAAAAGCAGCACTGCCTCAATTAACGCCGCCACATTCACAGAGCACACCGTGTGCATTAAAGAGGCTATTAATGAGGGAAGTATAGCTATAACTAAGCACTGCGGCTATTTTCACTGGCAGTGCTTGTGTGTAGGTTAAATATAGGGGTTATGCAAATTAAAGCAAAAACCACTTTACAGTGTCTTCGTAAGGTGCTGGGCCCCAGTGTGCTGCCACAGCTGCTTCACTTCACTCCTGCACCAGTCTAAACCGCCGACTCTGCAAATCTGCAGCGCTGCAAATGAGGGATATGAAACGCCGGTCCTCCAAAAGATATTCCTTCATTTGGTGTTTTGATGACGGTGGTGTAGAGCGCCGTCTGACAAGTCAGCCCTGAAGCTCTAATAGGTGTTCAACTGGATTGTGTGATTACGAAGGACACAGCATAGGAGTCACATTATTTTCACAAACATAAAACCATTCAGTGATCCCTCGTGCGCTGATGTTGGTGGATTGTCATCATGGACACCGTTCCCAACCGAACAGAAATGTTTCATGATAGGACAAAAATCCATCCATCCATCATCTATACGCCGCTTCATCCTCACAAGGGTCGTGGGGGGCTGGAGTCTATCCCAGCTGACTCAGGGTGAAGGCAGGTTCACCTGGACAGGTCACCAGTCTATCACAGGGCTACACTTAGAGACAGACAACCAAGCACACTCACATTCACACCTACGGACAATTTAGAGTCACCAATTAACCTCAACATGTTTTTGGACCTTGTGGGAGGAAGCTGGAGAACCCGGAGAGAACCAACGCTGCATGGGGAGAACATGTAAACTCCACGCAGAAAGATCCCGGGTGTCTTCACTGAATCGGTGACCTTCTAGCTGCGAGGCAACGATGCTAACCACCGAGCCACCTTGCAGCCATACCTAGGACAAAAATAATTCATTTAAAACAATTTTCTTTTGACCTTTCCTTTGAAGGTGAACCCAAGTGGACCCAAACATGTGCTCCCCACAGGATAACAGGGTCACCAAGTTTTCCTTTAATTTGTCAGCTATCTGTACATAGCTTCTCACACTATAAAGTCCTCCAGCAGCTGTCTGTTTCAGGCCATGACGCCGTGGTGCATTCACTGACCAACGACGAGTGGGGTGATGGTGTCTCCCATAATGCTTTTCATCATGTGTGAGACTGGAAGCTTATTGTAGCTGTATGGGTTCCTCAGTTTACATGTAGACCCACTGCATGAACACTTGCATATTCATTAAGTGCAAAATATTACACTGAAAACCAGGATTTAGTACTTCTATGTGTTTTTCCTCAGAGTTGAAAATGTAAGTTTTAGCTGAGGATTAGATGGCTGAGGGGATGACTGTGTCTCTATGTGAGGAGTTTCAGCAGATGGAAGAAAATGAAAGCTTGGAGTTAATGAAGATAAAACAGTAGCAACAGAGAGCTGTCCAGGTGACACTTCCTTCCTCAAAGTGAAAACATGCTGCTGGGTTTTTCAGTAGCTCATTTTCATGTTAGTGTTTATAGCTGATTTATTGATTATCATTGTACCTGACCATAGAAGACCCCATCGTTTCCACCACTTGTCAAACCAACACATCTGTCCAATGACTACAAATTAAAATTGCCTCATTTTCTGAACACAGATGCTACAATGTGAGCTTGAAATAATAGATTTAACAAAAGGAGGTCTTTGTTTCTTTTCATTTTTACAGCAGGTGTGTCAAATCTTTGCAAGCAAACCTCAAGTGTAAAGAACAGCATCAACAACAGCTGCATTTCAAGTCATTATTCAAGACTTACTGGGACGCTTTAGTGCAAAGAGCCATCATTAGCATTAGCAGTTTCTTTCTACAGCAGGTTCAGATAATTTCTGTGATTAAGAGCTGTGCAAAGGTTGTGGTTGTAATTTGCCAAAGAATAAAACAGGAGTTATAAAAGTGTTTTGTTTTAGGGTTTTTTCCAGACTTCTGGTAAAGTAAGTTTAATTTAACCAGACTTGTTGGCTAAAACCTCTTGAACCTCTTCAGACAAAGGAAAATAATTACACGACAGCTCCAGTGGCACGGTGAAGCAGTGGTTAGCACCTCACAGCTAGAAGGACGTGGGTTCGATTCCCATGTTCTCCCTGTGTCCAAAGACCTGCTGAGGTTTAACTGTCAGGTTAACTCTAAACTGTCCGTAGGTGTGAGTGTGCTTTGTTGTCTTTCTCTCAGTGTTTGGCGACCTGCCCTGGCTGTAACCTGCCTTCACCCTCAGTCAGCTGGCATAGGCTCCCCCTGCGACCCTACAGAGGATTAGCGGTAAAAAGATAATGGATGGATGGAGTTCCAGTTGGTATTTTATTGCAGGAAAGTGTGTTCTGTCACAAGAGGGCAGTAAGCCTCCACTCATGCATGGACCCACTGCCAAAGAGTCCTCTGCTGCTCCAGCCGAAGCTTTAACTCGTTTTGCAAGGAGCTTATGCATTTACAAATCCTGGAAATATTATTCTCTTTATGCTTTTTATTGCACGGTGAACGATTTTCATTCATTTCTCACATAAAACGCAACAAAAATACCAGAGTCAGATATTGTTCTGGTATTAAGTTTGCATAAGTTGCAAATTTTTAGGTAAGTCTACATTTGTTTAATGTGCCTTGGCGTCAATGAAAATGAGAGTTGTCCCTTAATGTGTTCTCTGAGGTTATAAAAAATGAACTGAAACGAGCTTTTATGTGATTTTTATTGTAGGGAGAGTGTCCCACTTAGGCTTTATGTGCTTACAGAATAGGAGGTGAAATACAGTCTGTCAGCGTTCGTCACGTAGATTTAATAAAAAACTGTGTTCTGCTGGAATTAGCTTCTTTTTTTCAATGGAGTCTGCATAATTTGTTTATTTGATTTCATTTTATATATGTCTGTATTTATTGTAGGTACCATGGCAGCTGTGAAAAGGTGCCGTAATGTGAGGATTAAATAAAATATATAAATTTTCACATCATTACCAATAAATTCATAATTCATTACAGACAGCTGCAGGGAGATACAGTATGTCAGTGCTCCAAATATGTGGTATCTTATTTAAATAGGTGTTTTGCATAATTATTTTTGGGATAATATTTAGCAAAAATGTACTCTACCAGAATTAGCTCATGTTTTTACAATTAAGTTGTTATAATTTGATGCTAATTTTGATGCTTCAACACCCCTGAAAAAGTGAGCTGTACCTCAGTGTGCTCTCTGAGGAATTAAACAAAAGAAAATTACCAATAAGTTGATGATTCATGACAGTATTCCAAGTGAAGTACCTTTAAAGGTCTACAGAATATTAAAAAAGTAAAGAAAATAAAAATATATTTTAAAAATATTCAATAAAAATAAACAATTAAAAATAACAATCATAAGATAATAATAAAATAATTGCTATATGATCAGATCAAATAGCAAAGAGAATAAAATAAAAAATATAAAGAAAATGAAAATATATTTTAAAAATATAGAAAAAAATTCAAGAAAAATAAAAAATAATCATAAGACAATAATGAAACAATTGCTATATGATCAGATCAAATAGCAAAGAGAATAAAATAAAAAATATAAAGAAAATAAGACATATTTTTTTAAATAACGAATAAATAGCAATCATAAGGTCATAATATATATATATTTTTTTAAAACTACTGTGATAATATAACTCCCCCAAAAACATATGTGGACACCAGGTCTTCAGAGGTTAATATTATTAACCAGTAAATTCATGATAAATGACAGTAGCCCCAGTACAGTGCCTTTAGATGCCTCCAGAATATGATGTGGACTACAGCAGGACTCAGAATCAGAATCAGCTTTAATGGCCAAGTACGTACAGAACATTCAAGGAATTTGGTTTCGGCTGTTGGTGTCGCCCTAGGAATTTACACGAATAATAGAAATAGGAAAATTTAAAAAATAAAATAAAGTAACTACAGAAAGAAAAGAACAAAATACAATAAATATTACTAAAAAAATAAAACAAGACAATGAGACAAATACATACAAGAATTTACACATCCAGTAGAAAAGGTATATGTACATTAGTGCAACATAGAAGTGCATATAGCAGTTGTGGCTTGGAGCGGCTCAGCTGTTCAGTAGGGTTATGACAGTGGGATAAACACTGTTTTTGTGTATGGTGGACTCTGTTAGTACTCTAAGTACATTTTATTTGTCACCATTTTAATTTCAGATTTTAGTGTCATAGCAGTTTAGAAGACTAGTTTCCAGGATGTTATGCTTAAAAAAGCCCTCAACACATTTCTATCAGCTCAGTTTCTCAAGGCCATGATAAGATTATGGGGGGAAAAAATCCTTATCTGTGTGTTTTTATCTTATTTTTTATTTAATATCTCATATAGAGAACAGTCCGTATGGGGGCATGTTGTCTGTGTTTGGATGTCCTGGACGCGTAAAAGTTAAGGCATCCTCCTCCTCCTCCTCCTCCTCCTCCCCCCTCAGAGTGTAATGCAGCTTTAAACAGTCCACAATGCCTTGCGGTGTCCCACTTCCAATGCGATGTATTTACCAGCAGGAGTAATGAAACGGGGGAGAGGGGCATTTTCCGCAGCTCACTGGTGAGACCGCAAAACGCCGCTGCCCGCTGAGGACAGACGCAAAACTTTCGGACAGCGGATTTTTTTTCTTTTCTTTTTTTTATTTAAACAGAAAAGGTCAATTATCTTCTTATTTTTTTTGGAGGGGTGTTGGGAGGGAGGAGGACAGGGGGGGCGTCGGTAGGCTTTTTTATCCCGTTTCCCCTCCGAAACGTGACTTTGTCGCAGTTGGTTGGAAGTGATTTAGTGGGCAATGCTGAAGGAGGAGGAGAGATTTTGCGGAATTCTCGCCGTTACCTGTGTTTTCCTCCCAAACTTCAGCCCGGATAGGAAGCGCTGACTCCTCTCCCGTCAAGGTAAGAGCGTTTGGTTGAGCTATTTGTAGCGGAAACGGGTTTTTTTTTATTATTGTGCCTGAGCAGTTGTGAGGTAACGGAAACATGAGTGAAGGGGAAGAGTTGGGCGACTCTGTGGACCCTCTACAGCCTGGTATCGCCATTTCTCTCCAGCCTCGTCCCAGTCCAGCTCCAGACGGGCTGGAGGTGGATGTTATGCTGAGAGCTGCTTTTGTTTTTTTTAGTCTTTTTGTTTTTTGGGGAGGGTGTCGAAATATGAAGCTTTTCTGAATCCATTCTCTGTGCTGATTCCAGACTTTATTGCCTTGCAGCAGGATGTGTGTTTTTCTTTTTCCACACTTTCCATCCATTTCTGCATCTCCAGCCATCACTAACATGAACATTTCAGTCCTTCCATGTGAAGCTCAGGTCCTCTCCACCACCCACAGTGCCAGCATGTCTCCCAGCCAACCTGTGGAGTTGTTGCACTTGGACGAGCTTCGATGCCCTCACACTGTGTCATTTGGTTGTTGCATTGAGTCGTGTCCCAGCACCAACTAATACCAGCCTGGAAACAACCACCTCCAGACTGGGAGCATAAATACTTTTATTCCATGTTGGTGACGACCATCGCAGCTGCTCCTGTTCAAACCGTTTCACTTCTATAAATGCTCATATGCTGAGAGTGTGATTCAGCACCGGATGATGTTTTCACAAACCGCAGTAACATGTAAAAATTGGCCAGAGGCCTCTTGTTGCCCCGCTGTGCTGCTGCTGCCCTGCTGCAGGAGTCTGCTGCCTGCCCTGCTGGCTCTTCAAAGCCGGCCAGCAGAGCAGTGAACATGGCAAGGGAACAAAGGCGGCATTATTGCTGGCTGAACGTGCCGGCCAGATGTTCCAGATTCTGCCAGCGCTGACCTCCCAAATGGGGGGGAAGGCTGCTACGGCGCCTAATAGTTTAATATCAAGCAGGCAGGGAAAGAGAGAGGAGCTCCAGGGCGGGGGATGTGGGGGTTGTGTGTAGCGTGACTGGATGGGGGTTTAATCCCAAACACCCCAACCTTCAGAGTGGAAGGAAAGATTCTGGCCAATACGTGCTCCTTTTTTTTGTCTTTATCTCGGGGCTACTTTGGTTGTTGTGCAACAGTACAGTCCACAAAAAGTGTGGGATGCAATAGTTTCCTTTCTGCTAAGTGATTTCTCAGTGTTTTGTCCAGATGGAGTGGTTGCACAATGTTGTACTCAATTGCGTATTAATTAAATATATCCATATCGCAGGCGTTTCATCTTGTTGTTGTGAAGCAGAGTTAGCTACAGGGATGTTAAATTAGGAGCTAGAATGCTTCTGTCTCTCCTCAGTGTCTTCATCTCGAGATTACAAGTTCATAAATGCATTATTACAAAAATAAAACAGCTCCAGTCTCCTTCACCACCTTCACTACAACCTGTAGAGTTGTCGCACTTGGACAAGAGTTAACGTCCTCACCGAGACGGGTCTCCAAGCCTCACAAACGCTGCAGCATCTTTTTGTTGTTGTTGTTTTTTTTAGATCCTCGAGGGTTTGAACATTTCATTGATTTAGTCTGCACAAGTTTGCTTATCTCCTGATGATCATCCAGCTTTGATACGCTGAAGATCGGATGCGCGCTTTGATGAATGGCTGTTTGCATGTTGTACAGCCGCAGAAGATCACACGGCAGAGGGGACCTGTGGCTTTCTTATCTCTCAGTCATGGCCCGTTGCATTCTCACAGCGCAGGAATGCACCGCCTGGATGTTATCAGTTTCCACTCGGCGGGATCAAGGCCCGTCTCTGGTCTTCACCATGTTCTGTGATGTTTACACTTGCACAGGGCATTGTGTACACGCTGGGCTGGCACATTTGTGATAAGAGCCTTCATTATCTGGTTAGCCTTAACTTTCCCATCTTGTCGGTTGCATCTTAAATTATTGTCAAACTCTTCCACAGTGATTTACGAGCGGGGGGGGATTTATACTGGTAGCACTCGAGGACTATCTTGAAGAACTGAAAGGAAACGCAGAGATTCGTTCCAACCCAGTCTCCACCAGCGCCTCCACAATAAACCAGCGTCTGTCTCTGTTACTCACAGAGGTCTATTTCACAACGGATCTGTTACCAATTACGGCCCAGTATAAATTGCTAGTAATTACATGCTACTCTACAGGGTGTGCAATTTGAATTAAAGTTTGGTGAGCAATAGGCAAGAAGGTTTAAGCACTAAACAAGACTGATGTCGCTCCAGTCTGAAAGAAGTCTCCTATTGTCTTTAATTAACAGCAGCGCGGGGGAGTTGTGCATGCCATAAAGCTTCTATTATAAATTAGCTTTAATGAGATACTGGATATAAATTCCTCCAAAATTACAATGGTTCGACTTCTGTTCTTCGTGTAATGGCCGTATTGTTTTCCACTTTGGCGAACAATGGTTGGCAAATTTGGACAGGAACTGAGCAGCGGCGTCTATTCGTGGAGGTGGTGGAACATTGGTGTTTTCCTGTGAGATCGTTTTTCTCAGCTCGGTTCAGTTTGCTGCCCTACAGGCCTTTCCCCGAGTCGGGCTCAGTCTTGGTTTTGTCTTAATGTAATGAATGCCCATTTTGTTTTTCTCAAATAACCCCTTGTTCAGCAAACTGCTAAACTACGTGATACCCGGGCCAGACTGTGATGCCTGACAGACTGTAAACCCCCCAAAACAAGCCGTGCCATGTTGGTGCTCCTACACTCAACCCTCCTACAGTATTTCTTTATGGTGTATTTTACAAAAGTGTAGTGGTTGTGTTGCAACACCCACAAGAGCATATGGTGTCTTGTTTACACAAGCAGCCAGTTGAAGCCTTTTTCCTTGACAGCTTGGTGTGCTCCTGTAGGTCTGGAGGATTGTCATCAGCAGCCGGGCAGGCAGGCTGCTCAGTGCTGCTCACACAGCTCATTGCCCAGAGAGGGATTCATCTTGAGTCAGTGTTGCTCAACCGCTACGAGACTGAAGCAAATGTGAGCAGGCACAAATTTCATTTGGATTTGAGATTTTGCTGCAGCTGATCATCTCTCTGCTGAGCTTAAATAGGAATTCAAGTGCCCCTCTGTCTCCTGAAATGCCTCTCTGGCACAAGACAGGCTGCACAAATCAGGAGGTGGGCATCTCCCCAGGCCGTGGCTTTGAAGAGCCAGAGGAATGGAGCTTGCAGAGCTCAGGATGGCACTCTGCCCTGTGCCGCTGTGCTTGTATCATCAGTTGGGTTTTCTGGGTTAATGTTAATGAATACAAATGTTACAAGTCTGGACCAAAGCAAGTGACATTTGTAAATGCCCCGCTGAGTGTTGTGCATGGACTAGGCTTTGAATCAGCCTGCAGCTAATGCCAGCGCAATATACAGTACACGATTAGTCATGAAGTGTAGCTATAGGAGGCATTTTACATCACTTTTCCCCTCTAGTGTGTCCAAACACCTCCTCACTGGCGGATCCGTTACGCCTGCTTTGCATCAAGACCCACTCACTGCCTGTGACTGTTCCCACATCCCCATGGAGAAGGGGTTAAACAAAATGGTGACAGCGTTTTGGGTCACTGCAGAAAAATCTTGCAGCGTGCCTGCCTGTGTGTGACTATTTTCCTGTTCCTCTCCATCCTTCAGCCCTTTAATGCCATTTAAGGACAGTCTGGAAGAAGGACAAAAGCACTTTCCAACCAGCTGTGAAAATGCCAAGAATAGAGTGATTTGGCGACTAAGGTGACACTCGTGCACGAATACGAATGCACAAACTGTTTAACACAAACTCAGATACACAACCCACACTTGAATAGAAGAAAGATTTTGTTTTGCTTGTAGCATGCCAAGGCAATTAACTGAAAAATTAAAAGAAAAACTATTGAATAAATCTTTGAAGAAAATCATCAAGATGCCAAACGTTTGTTTTTTTTCACTTTCTCAGATGAAAAATTGCTCTTTCATGTAAAACTTTGGGTTTTGAAGCGACAAACACACAATTTAAAAATGTCACCTTGAACTTTTGATGGATTTTTTTTTTTTAACATAAAGTGAGAGACGAGCTAAAACAATGAATAGAATAGTCGGTAATAAAAACTTTGCAGCTCCATTTGTCTCTCTCTTCCTGCAGATGCTACCTTGCAGCGCTGCTTAATATCTTGACCATATTTAGAAGAAGCAGTTGGCGGAGGATAGGACAGGGTGGTGTGGATGACTTTGTGAATGTGGATAGGGAATACGTGGGGCGGGGGAGGACGAGTAATTGGCGGAGGGGGGTTTGGCGAACAAAAGGACCTTTTGACTCAGTAGTGTAGGTGCAGTGAAGGTTAGATTCATTGAGAGTGATAGGGATCTGCAGAGATGCCATTCATTCTGTCCCTGTTGTTCAATGCCCTTGAAGAACACTGAGAAGGATCCTTCCATTGATGTGTGTTTTACGCAGTGTGCTGTTAGTAGCTATTCATATTTTAGTGTTTGCTTTGTGACTCTGATAGTAAGAATTTGCACATCGCTGATTTCGTGCAAACAAACATCACAACGACGACCCATCTCTAATATTTTGATCAAATTTAAGGTATAATCCGTTTTGTCAGTGTAGAATGCAGGCCATAACGATGTGTTACCAAACAGTAAAACAGAACAGTGACATCAAAAACAAAACCCTACACTTCTCAATTGCATTATGATTCTTCCGGGTCTCCCTTTTGTCTCTAATTACATTTCTGTTCCTTTTCTGTTTCTGTCCTTTCTGTGTAACTGAGTTAATCTGTCTGTTTTCACTGCTTCCATCTAATTCTCAGTACAAAAGCAGGAACTGGGCTTGAGAATGTCTGCTGGCAGATTTTTTTCCCTGCACCCCCAACAGACATGTACCTATTCATAGAGAAGAACAAAACAACAGTGTTATGGCCAGCTGGTCCTGGCATGTCTGGCTCGGAGTCCTCTCTGCGCTGGCCTCACCTTCACCTTAAGCTACTGCTAAAATACCCTTTGCATTAATTTTTTTTCCTGCTAAATTCGCCGCTTGCGTTGACAAGCACCGCCATAGGAGCCTTATAGGTTTGGCCTTGAGCACATCCTGACTCGGTGCTTCCTGTTTTTCCTTGTGTTTCCTCCGCAGTGAATTAGCCAGAGGGGCTTCAGCCGCCCTGCACCATTACAGCCTTCAATAATGTTGGGGCCAACACATCACAACCGGCCCCCTCGCTTCTGACCCAACATGGAGCTCAAGGTCTGGGTGGATGGAGTCCAGAGGGTTGTCTGCGGGGTTACTGAGGCAACCACCTGCCAGGAAGTGGTGATAGCGCTGGCCCAGGCAATAGGTAAATAAGTCATGTTTTCTAAAAGCTACAGTACGCACACTTGAGATACAAGCTGCCGTTTGAAATTTGAGAACTTTCTGGTGTCGTTCCTATAGTGATGTCCCATGTCCATTCTTATACCATTTTCCTAGATAATATACACTTCAAGTATTGTCAATGAGCTGTAGTAGGTGAAGCCTCTTTCTGTTTAATACTGTAGTAACCAGAGGGGGCAGACATTTGGCGACAAATCAATGTTGGCAAGCAGAGAGCATGTGTGAGAGTTCAGGTAGTAAAGGAGCACCATGATGAAGTTATCTGTGAGGCTTAATGACCTCCAGTCAGCACCCATGCACTACATTCAGCTGGCATCAACTACAACAGTTCTTCTATCCTTGTGGCATCTGAAACAGTTGTTTTCTGCAGCTTGTTTCAGGTGCCCATGTGATGGTGGATGTCAACAAAGAATAGGGTTTAAGCTTCCTATTGAAACTGCTCAGTTATAACATGCAGTGATCCTGATTTCTGGGTCCTGTGTAGTAGGTTAACAGGAATTGGGCTAAGCAATATATTAATCAGTAACTACATCATGTTTTTTGCACAGATATATACAGTCGTGACTCAATGATCTGACCCTTAAAAATCCAAAACCTTGCTCTCCGACAGGTTTTTAGGAAAAATGAACGGAACCCATAAAAACAGCCTTAACATACTGACAGCCTTGGATTCTGACTCCAACATGACATTTTATGTCACCAATTGATAACGGCGTATTATCTGACTTAACGAGCCGACAGATTGGCTACGTTCAGACTGCAGGACTTAATGCTCAATTTGGACTTTTTTGCCAGTTGGTTCACATTTCCAGTTAAATGCGACTTGTAGATGATCTGCTGTGTGAAATTCATACGACCCGAAAGTGTCCCGCATGCGCAGAAGAGGACACGACGACGTCACACGCTGAGAGCGTGCTCAGTGTTTATGGAAGTAAACATGGATGGTAACGGTGGAGCGTATCTGCCACTCCCACACCACCGCCGATGGTGGAAACAGAACTGTGACCACTAACTAAACTGGCATCAGCAGCCAAGTACTGCCTGTACGTTCTGGCCACTTCCACTTCGGGGTGGAACTTGCACAAGCGCACCGGTCAATCCAGCGATGCCTAATGTTCTAACAATACACTAGTTATTATAACAACTATGAACAATAAATATGAACAACAAATGATCCTTCCAGCATCAAGCCCTCCTTGTATCTCGACCTCCGTCTTGACAATCCGACAGCCTTGCTATCTGACATAAAAGAAGGTTTTACATTTAGTGCTGGATTATCAGAGTCACGACTGTACTTCAATAAGGCAGAATTTGTGAAAATAAAAGACTACAACTGCTGTTTAGAGCCACTGATAGTAATACTAGAATTTCTTTTGAGTAGGCCAACGATATTATGTACACGATAGAACAGCGATTGTGCACAAACACTGAACAACTCAGTCAGTGTACTCTAACGCAGTCACTAACTCATAACTGTAAGCTGTGCTTTAGCCTCTCTGGCGTTTGAAAAGAAGTCCTTATGAAGTAAACAAGTCCTGCCTACAGGTTACGCGCCTGCTGAGATACAGTGGGTCATAGGCTTTAGTGGTACTTTCTTGGATCTAATCACCCACCCCCCTCCTTTCCCATATGGCTCCTTCAGGAACGGGGACACTTGAGCATACTGTGTTGACATCACTTCCCACAAAGCACGGGGTAGGAGGAGGGAAAGTCTGACTCATCCCTCAGTCTCCTGCCAAACAGAGAAAGCAGTACTTCTGAGCCCCTTCCTCTGCCTTTTTTATGCTAAAAACATACACACAATGTTAAGTGATCAGACAGCAATTCTGATCCGGTACTTAATGAGCGTTTCTGTGCAACTATTGTGTCTGGGTTTTCTTTAAACAGCACGGGGGAATTTCTGTCTTAGAATCAGATGTAGTGTGAAAGGGTTGCTGTACAGTGCTGAAACCACTGAACAATATGCCGACACTGGAGATCTGAGCAGCTTACATTCTCCTTCGTCTGATTGGCTGCATCCTGTAGCCTGTATTTTCTATATGCTACTGTACATTTGAGACTTAAGGATTTCATTGCACTTATAAAAAGCACTGTATAAGGTGTTTTCAGAAACCAAATGCAGACTTGGTGAAATTTTTAATCTTCTAGTTTTATAGGCTGGTAGTAAATCAGAGGCTGCATTTCTTTAAGTTTGCTTTGGTGTTTTTCTTTCCTCCAGAGACAAAAAATGCCTCAAGCATCTTGAATTAAATGTCAGAATCCTTGCAACCTGATATAACCCTCTGTCTCAGATGTTTTTCAAAGTGTTTTGTACTCTCGTGTTTGCAGGTCGCACTGGGAGATACACTCTGGTAGAAAAATGGCGGGACACAGAGCGCCACCTCGCCCCTCATGAGAGCCCTGTGGCTTCTCTGAACACCTGGGGCCAGTATGCCGGTGACGTCCAGCTGATCCTGCACCGCACGGGCCCTTCGCTGACCGAGCGACCCCCCTCAGAAGGACCACCTCTCAGGGGGCCGGAACGCGGGCTGCACCGGCAGAGCCTCCCTCCGCTTGCAAAGCTCCGTCATCCCAATGATCGCTCCCTCCGCCGCCGCGAACCGCGCCGCAAGTCTCTCACGTTCACCGGTGCACCCAGAAGCCTTAGGGAGATACTGAGTGGGGGCCAAATTGGTGAGGCCGAGGCCAAACGAAGGCTTCTGCTGGGGAACGGTGGGAATCATCACCATGCAGGACCGACTATCGGGAGCACGTCCCCTGGCCTGTGGGCCTGTCGCATGGAAGATCTGGTCAGACTGGTCGGTCTGCAGAGAGAGACTCTAAATGTGCTGGAGAAGAAGCTGGAGGCCTATGAGGCTGAGCTTCAAATCTGGGCTGAGGGGCGAGGGGGGCGAGGAGGGGCCTGTCCTGGGGACCCAGGTGGAGTGTTGATAGAGGAGATCCTGAGGCTGGAGAAGCACCTGAGGAAGAATGAAGTAGAAATGGAGGAGGAAGAGTTTTGGGCCACTGAGCTGCAGATCGAGCTGGAGAGTGAGAGACAGCTGGAGGAGAGGCTGCAGGAGCTACGTGGGCGTCTGCAGGGCTGTGAACTGGAAATTGAAGAAAAGCTGGCAATGGTACAGGTGTGCTATCTGTGGGAGATTTTCGTGATATTGAATTTTGGAAAAGCAAGATTTGTTGCTCATGATGGTTGCTGTGGTATTGCAATCTTTCTGATGTTTGTGTAAAGCGCTGGGTGACTTCAGCTGTTCAGTCTCTTTTTTTTCCCCCATCAGGGTGTCGAGGCAGGCCTGGAGGAAGAGAAGCTGCAGAGAGAGCGGCAGGAGACCCAGTGGGTCAGCGAGGCAGAGGCTCGGGCTCAGGTCCTCCGGGTTAAAGCAGAGTTGAAGGCCCAAGAAAGACAGGCTGTCCAGCTGGAAAGCAGCTGCAGAGCTGTGGACCGGTCACTTGGACAAAACAGCAAGAAACTGCAGGTTAGATGTATGCATGCACCAGAGTAACCTTCACTGCCCGGAGTTTGTTTTTTTAACAAAATCTTGCTGCAGGGTGATGTAGTGGTAAGAAAGACCATCCATCAGCAAGAACGCATTTAAGCATCTGTCCACCTGAATCATCACCTACTGTGATGCTGAGTCGCCGCCAGTTTAAAGGAGAGCTCCACCATTTTTTTCCCCCTTGTTTGGTTTTTGCACATCAAGGTCTGTTTTGCCAGTATAAATAAATATGTACGTAAAAAAGTTGCATAAAGCCTTCAGAGAACAAACCCTTGTGCAAAATCTGACAAATAGAGTAGAAGTTTGAAAACGAACAACCGTGTGGGTGTGGAGTTACAACCAAGTGAGCGTACCAGATCTCTGCAGTGTGCTTCTCATCCCTGCTCCAGGCTACCAGTTCAAGGGTACATTAGCTGCTACTAGAATAACTCACTCCAGCCTCTGACCAACCTGCTGGTGCTTGAGTTGCACTGCATTGCCATGTTTTGACAGAGTCACATGGAATAAAAAAACACACACAACAGCTCTGGTTGTGTGGCGTATGATTGTTTTATTTTTAAACTTTCCATCATGAGACAATGTTTTAGAAGGGAAATGCTAAATTAGTGGCGCGCGCTAATCAGTGAGTGCGAACACCAATCAGTTTACAATTTAATAAAACTTTTTGTTCTTTTGGTGAAAATAGCACTCACAAGAAAACAATGAATAAGGAACAAGGCTCTGCAAAACATCTGCTGGGTTGATAATAACCAAGATTGATTAACAACTACAATAAGCATCAGTAGCTGGACATCAAAATACTCAAACCACACATGGAAGTCGATCAGTTTGTTTCCCCTCCGAAGAATCATTTTGCTTTGTGCTGTTTTTTTTTTTCGAAGGATATGCAGCACGAGCTGGAGCAGCTGACCAAGGAGCTGAGGCAGGTTAACCTGCAGCAGTTCATCAAGCAGACCGGCACTAAGGTCACGGTGCTGCCGGCAGAACCCAGTGAGGACGAAAGCACCCACAACAGTCATGGTATAGGTAATGAAATTTTGCTCTAAATATGACTGGATTTTTGGAAAATGAGTAAGGTTCAAACTAAGGCCACTGTAGTTGGTGACAAGGGGGCACCTAAGTCTATTCAGTCTGAACTGGCCCACGACAGGAGTTCATTGTACATCAGATTGCAGCCTCTTCTAGAATAAATTTAGCTTTCTTTCAAGCAGGCAGCATATGACTTATTTTCATTAAATAGCAGAAAGTGCAGTTTGTGTTTGAGTCTGGCTGCGCTTTAGTGAAGTAATTCTGTTCCATCACGGCGCTTATTATTCTTTTGCCTCATGTCTCGACAGCCTGCTGTGAGAAAATAACTCAGCCATGTTTTCGAGTGTGTACGTGTGTGAGATTGTGATACGGGAAAGTGGGGAGAAAATAAGGGTAGTTAAGAACACAGTATTACTTTTACCTACTTCAGTGCCAGTTATTATCTCCATGCCAACAGCTGCCTGGATACAGACAAACCTGGCGTCACTCCTTCACCCTACTTTCTCTGTCTACCCTTCACTCCTTCCACCATGATTTCCCCTCTTATCACATACAGATCAGTGGCTTAGTGAAGTCTGTTGAGCCTGAAGTCGGAGTCTGTTAACCAGGCTACATCACCATGGTAACTTATTCTGCACAGCTAACCTGGCTCGGAGCAAGTCATGTTCAGAGATTTAAATCGATTGGGGAAAAAAAAACATTCTCCTTTCATCAATTTGTTTTCCTGGCAATTTTGCATGAGTGAAACAGATATTGAGCTGAGGAAATGTGCTGCAAACCTGATGAGCTGGGTGTTAGTGATCCCAACGAATGAAGCCGTGCAGTTACAGTATAGTATAATGTAGCACCATATGTTGGTGATGCAGAAAATGCATTGGCTAAAAGTGATCATGGGACAGTGTCAGACCTAAATCCACTTCTTTATTATTAAAGTTTAGCTCTGATGTGCAGCTGTCACACCAGAAACAATCAGCTGTATTAAGTGTATGAGTAGTAAAATAAATATACTGACTTAGACAATTACCAGCTTTCTACCAGCCTTCCTCTCGTGCATCATTTGTAGTAGCAGTTACTGTAACACATGTTTATATTCATCATAGCTCTCCACTGCTTCTCTTTACCAAAGTAGGCGGCACACGGTTGGTTCAAATGACGCGTTAAATACCCAGTTTTATGTTTGCGCCGACAGAATCTGAAGCAGAAAACCTGAGTTGATACCAACCATTGCAGTACCAATTTTGTCTTAAATTTTAGGTTTTGTCGAGCCAGTTTCCACAAAGAAAGCCTGGCTATGTCGAAGTGCGGCTCTCTGTTTCTGGGATGGGTTCATGTGGCCGTACATCCATCATCCTACGTGATACCAGCAGAGAGCTGACACCTAAACAAAGAACTCTGAATGAAAGAGCAGCGAGACAAAGGCTACGCACTACCAGCACGGCCACAACTATCAGCAAGCTGGTTATTAAAAACTAATATAGCTCTAACCACTAGGTGGATTTAACTAGCAGCTTGTAATTTTACTGCAACTTTGTAATTTTTGCAAGAGCTGAATATTCAACTTTCAAACTAAGTTTATAGACACAAGAATACAAACTTAAAAAACAAGCTTGTAAGTACAAACGCATAAACACTTGAGTTAACCCTGAAGTGCAGAACATTGTCTGTCCCATTCTGGTAGTAAGAGGGATTAGAAACCATCAATCGCTTTCCTTTTCAGACCATTACCTTCCTCTGAACATCAAGTTTCCTTTTTATCTGGGCCATCAGACACTTTTCTTAGGTACTTCCTTGGGTTTTCAGCCTCCCTCCTAGTTACTGTGGCCTACTCCATCTCTGTCACTCCATTAGCTCCCCTCTTCAGCTCTGGCAAACCAATCACTGCTGATTGGTTAAAATGCTGCCGGTGTGACTGTGCAGAAACTGGATTTAGAATTCTGGTATACTGTCAAATATATATAGAGAGATATACCTGAAACCGATAGACACATTTGGCAAGGATTTGAATATATCAGGCATTCATTTATATGTAAAAGTACCATAATCTGGCTTTGAACCTGATTCATGTCCACTGCCCTGAAAACTGGTTGCTTCTTGTTAAATAAACTGTTAGAAAATTCAGTTTTCATTGTGTAAATGCAGTACAAGGTGTGATCAAACAGTTTCAAGACTGTTGGCTATAAAAATCAAAAACCATACTTGATTTAAATTTAGCCACCGTCCCATTCAAAGGAGTCTCCAACATAAGCGCTGTTGTCACGCTCGTAGCGCTCTCTAGAAGTGCAGTTATGTGAACATGCAAAGCACCATCTGTGACGGGCACCGGATCTCCTCCACAGTGTCAAAAAAAGCAACCCTTCAACTTGAGTTTCATTCTGGAGTGGAGGAAGAAAATCGCAGGAAGCCACATCAGATGATGAAGACTGACGATTGTGTTGTTGCGGCCAAAAAAACCCAATGAGTAATCACCGCGCTATGAGAAGCAACCAGTGCCTCCAGGCTCTACCACTATAAAACTTCTGTTTGGTCTCCGGGTCAGAACCGAAGATCCACATTTCATCACCAGTGATGATGCTCAACATGACGGTCGGCTCTTCCCAGCTGTTGACTGACATGTGATTTGATGTTTGCTGTCTGTCTTTGGAGAAACTACAAACGGGGACGTGCCAGCTGACGGCACAACGTCATGTGGAATCCTTAGTTATGATAGTTTCTGCTCGGACCTATTACGTGACTGCGCTGCACAATAGAAACAGTCTCGGAACTTTTAAATCACACCTGGTGTCATGTTTGACTTTAACTCATTCTCCTGATTGAATTGTTGCGCAAAGAAGCATTAAGAGCAACCTGTTGTCGTCTGATAGTGTAATCGTTTATGCCAGCTTGAATTTATTTTAATAACAAGCAGTTAAGACGAGCTTTAATTTAATATCTCAGCAGATATATTTTCTTTCTGCATGACAGGTGCTCCATCATTGCATCCTTTAGATAACTGGGACTCCTAATTACACGTCAAACATTTCATTTATGAAAAGTAATAATCGAGTGTTGATGGTTTTGTAGTAACAGTTCAGGACATGTGGGTAGATAAACAAGAGATTCTGTGCCTGGCCATAAGAGTCACTGCATTGGCTGATTCTCTGCATAGCTCAGTCCTGCCCCCTGGTGGCATGACAGCAGAAGTACATCACATTGAATCATGCAGTAGATTGTATGATGTATAATTATAAACAGGGGATTTATTAGGAATTGGAAAATGTATGGTTAGATTTGGATTTTTTTTTAAGTTTGTTCTTTAATGTAATCAAATCTTTGAAATACAGCCAAGGTGATGGCTTATTCTCAAGCTGTTGAAACAGTAGTTTGGCAAAAGATAAACAAATGCGTTTTAAAAATTTGCTCTCTTTGTGTTACAGTCCTCAGTTGATTGAATTTGCCACTACTGGATAATTACACGCATATATTATTTAATGAAGTTCTGAAATAGATTTATTTTATTGTTTTCCTTTTGTTTTTTCCCTTTTCAGATCTAGTTCCCCTGTCCGGCTCACTGAAGCGCCCCGTGTCCTCACACTCGATGTCCGGCCATCTCCGGGTTCTCCAGAGCCCCCTCAGCTCTGGCCTGAACCCAGAGGGGATCTATGTGTGAGGCGGTTGTACTCAGAGGGACCACATCTTGTCCCCCCACCCCACCCCACCCCACATCAAGAGCCAGTTTCACACCAGAACTGATTTGTAAGTGGATATCTTAGTACAAGACGCCTCCGTAGCACACTACTATGCACTGTTTTTCCAATTACCCGAAGGCAACCCTTATTGTGAAGACAGCATCTTAAAACGGAAGTCGTGGAGCACTTGGGTGAAAGAGAATGAAAGATGGTTAGAAGCTGTGGTGTGAAAAAAACAAAAACAATAAACAGGGCAACACAACCATGTTCCCGTGGTGCGATGTCTCTGAAAATGTTTCTTTCTAAACATCAGGCTTTTGTGGACTTCCTTTCTAAACATATCCACTTAATGTACTTCTACTCTCACTTTAGTACCTGCTGAATGATTTCTATTGTTTTCTCTCTCTAGCATCGTGATTGGAAACTCTTGCCTTTTGAACAGTATTCTTGAGTATGTGAATCTATGAATTGTATCTCTGAAACCACATGTACTTTTCTCCAGCGTGACGTCTGGTTCTTAAATAAGTGAAGGATCCACTTGTAGTAAAAACGGTGAAGAATCTTGTCTTTTGGTTTTTTTGTTTGTTTTCTTGCATAGCATATCATACGTGCTCTGTTTGCTCAAGTTAAAACTATGCACAAACGGTTAATAGTTTTGTTACTGAAGAATGTTACTGTCCGTATGTACCAAAACGATGGCTTACTGTAAATACATTTTCTTACTTTTGAGCTTTATTTAGTGAATTAGTATATTTTATTACAACGCGGTGCATTTGCAGTTACAAAAAAATGCAGTCCCTCATTCCTGCAGTAATATCTGCATACTGAAAGTGTTAATTATCCTCTTAAGCTGATTTTTTTTTTGACTACACAGTATATTTTTTTTTGCCAAATGTATTACGCTTGTTTTTCTTAAGTATCGTGTGGCCAAAGATTAGCAGGTCTTGTTGCATGATTGTGTTGTCCGTATATGAATGTGCACCCACAGCCCAGTAAAGCAGTTAGCTGAATCTAAAAACAGGTTGGCATGTGATAATAGAATGAATAGTTACAGCTACTGTGTGTATTAGAGAGCGAGTGAGATGAAATGTGTGTGTGTTTTGTCTGCATGCGTGCGAGTCGGGACGGTGTGAAGTTGTAGATTAACAGTGATTCAAGACATGTATCTGTTCGTGTGTGTGTGTGTGTGTGCAGAGTCTGAATAGCCAAGGTATGAAACCCCTCTTAGGTTGTAGTTCAGCTGCTAATCACATCAAAGTGCCTTATATCCATTCCACAGTTGGTGTATTCAAATAATGTACAGTAAAGCTTTAGTAGGGGGACATCGAAGGAACCATCATAGCCAGTTTAGATCAAACGTAAGTAGATGTTAGCGCTGAAACGGCGATAGCACAGCAGCAAAGAGGAACGTTTTTTTTTTCTGTTTTGTAGAAATGTCACTGTTTTCTAGTGCGCTCCCCTTTGCCGCTGCGTTATCGTCACCTCGATACTACGTGCTGTAATAACGACTTAATTTGATTCCTTTATTCTCGTCATGCAACACATGTATACTGTAGTTTCGATCAGTACTGTCACATAGTTATGGTCACTGTTTACAACTGCATATCTTCTAGAGAACTGTAAGATGTCGACTGTACATAACCTGTTTTTTTTTTTTTGTTGTTGTTTTTTTTTTCCTGCCTTAATATACTGCAAAGTGTTGACAGATATATGGCTGTAACAGGCTGCTGATATGACATGGATTGCATGGTTCAATAAACCATCTGACAACATTAGATGTGTCGCAGCTGGTGCTTGTTGTGACCGACGGGTGTTTGTGTCTGTAGCTGGCGGAAGCGTTACGGCTTTTCACCAGTAGATGGAGACGTTTACTCAGTAATGGTGAAGAGAAGCCAGTGAAGTCTGCTTTTTTTTTTTTCACACAGAAGAACCAAAAAAAAGAAGAAGAATAAATCTAAAAACTAACCTTGCAGAATACTGTGTTACTTGAAATTAGGTTTCTAACAAGTTGGATGATAATATAAAGCAGAATGCATTTACTTAAACTTACAGGTGATTCCAAAGTTGTTTTAGAACTCCAGAAGTTAAGACAGGATATTTGTGGTGTGAGTCTTATTCCATCACTACCTATCAGCCACCACACTCCTGAACTCCTCGCTGGCTGTAAGTGGACATACATGTCGCCAATATTCCTAAAAAAAAAAAAATCATAAAACGAGGCATTAGAGAGTTCTAATTAAGCGCAAAGATTAAACTGATATCGCGGTAAGCCGGCGAATGGCAACAACAAAGACTGGATTTGATCCTGCTTAAAGCTTTTGACAAGTTGGGAGGAGCCCCCTTGTTTTTCATCAAGCCTGCACAGACTGACTGTAATCTCTCTTCATCACCCTTTTATCACATGACATTTGTTTAAAGCCTCGGCTTACTGTACATTCTTCTGCTCTGACATGTCAGCTGATTATAGAGCAACGAAACATTCCGTCCACTGGACTTACAGTATTGTTGTTCATGCGTGCCGCCGCGGCCCGAAGCCTCTTGTGTACGCAAAAACTTGGGTGTGTTATCACTTGTGTTGTTTCCCACGACCTAAATATTACACATGGAGGTACTTCTTGGCGAGGATTGTTTACCGAAGTTGAACGCACAGGATTAGCGCAGAATGAGAAGAAGCCTGCAAAGTTTAGTTTTTTGATATTTATTTTACAACTCATCAGCAATAATTTAGAACAGCATATGTGTAAAGCATTAACGAAATGTGCAACAGTTGCTCAGTTAAATCTTTAAAAAAAAAAAAGAAAAAAAAATTCATAGACTTCTACGACATTGACAAAGACATGTATACTTCATGGTATATTCACAAAAAGAAAAAAAAAACTATTTACAAACACACATGCCACTTTATAGAACAGTTGATAACAGATCTGAGGCAAAAAACCAGCTGAGAGGAAAAAGGGGGGAAAAAACTACAAAAGCAATGTAATGTATGCAAAATACAATGAAAACCATCTGCCTATTCAGTCACATGTGAAACTTAGAAAAGCAGAACAACACTACACTTGCAGGGAATAGTTAGAAAAGAGGCCGAGATAAAGTTCCTTAAAATGGCAAATGACCGCGTTTCTCCCAGTTTTGTCAGATTCTCGAAAAGTGATGTTTTACATAATGATAGCGTACAACACAAAATCCCGACTGATGTGCGGTGAAGGGGGGGGCTGTTCAAATCTGATTATGATTTTTTTTCCCTCCCCCCCTTAAAAGAGCGAGAAATAAGCAGTGTTTGGGGGGGGAAATGACTTAATCACCACTTTACTGCATGAAATCATCACAAAGCATCTTCTTCTCTTTGATGAAATGAAATCAGAGTTCTTATTTTTTTTATATCAAGACAACTCAACACAATAGAAAGGTTCAAAGAGAACTACAGTGATTGACTTGCAGAAATGATAAGGTGACGGTTGGAGGGGCGAGGAGGAGGGAGGAGGAGGGGAAGTAAAAGCAGAAAAAAGTGCACTTAACGTCTCAAAGAGTAAAGATCATCCTACATACAAACTTTTAACAGCTGGGAAAATACAGGTACATTCAATATCAAAGATCTTTAAGGTGCTATCCTACAATGTTTTCCTGGAGGTACATGAGGTCAGGGCATCTCTGTGCAGAAATGCTTCAGTCAGGGGGAGGATGTACAATATGCTGGTCAAGCAAACCCTCATGAATGAAGGGTTTTGTCTCTTCTGAATGATTGTTTTTTTCTTTCCTCACAGGGACAAACGAGCAAATTAAGAGTTTTGTAAAGATGAGTTGAGGGACATCAGGTACAACACCTTATCCCTTGATCTGAATGTGTGATAGCTGATTTTTTTATTGTTATTATTTTTGTATAGAGATGTGTGTGTTTAGAGGAAGAGGGAGGGAGGAGGATACCATTCATTTCATCTGAGGAGGGACAGTAATGTGCCTCCCAATAAGCCTACCCCGGCTGGGGATGAGGTACTTGTAGGCATCACACTTCCAGGAGCACTTCTTTTATAGGCCCATTTAGTGCACATTTACATGTTCATGAATCAGCCTATTTTTCTGGTAACAATATTTACAGTCAGAGTCAGCCAAGTTGGTCAGAATCTTGGCAGAGGTCAGTTGCAACTTCATACATCCAAAAGTGACTCATTGATTGGGATATTGCGCACTGTTGGAGTACTCAAAGCGGTTTTTTTGTATTTTTTTGTTAAGTTTTTTTTTTTTGGCACCAATGCTGCCATGTCAAAATATTTTTTTTATCAAAGAGGATAAAAAAAAAACGTATTCCAGCACAACACAGCCGTATAGTGTCAATCATTGTCGATAATCATTCAGATTGTTTAATCTAGTTTAAGTGCAAAAGGCACGCGCCGTCACAACTGTCCCCTGTTCCGCCAACATATTGTACACGAGAACCTCTTCTGTGGGACCCCTAGTCTATGTTTTAAAAAAAGAAAGAAAAGAAAAGACATAAACTCCTCATCAGAATGCACAGAAAGGTAACACAGACTAATTAGCTCCTCTGACAGCCAGAAAACTGCTCGTGCGCGCTGCTCTTGTCCTCCTGGGACGCGTCACCCACGTCACCCTCTCCGTCGTCACTCACGGGACTTTCCTCTCGCTCCTCTGGTGAGCCCGCCTCGGCCTCGGGTGACCCCTCGGTGTCTGGAGAGTCCTTGGACTGAGGTGAGGCTCCAAAGTGCGCAGACAAGCCGGGGAACGCGGCAGCAGCAGCGGCCGCCGCCGCCGCCGAGGCGTGTGCGGGGTATAGCCACGGGAACGGGGACGCGAGAGCAGCCGCCGCCGCCGGGTACATGTACTTCTCAATGTTGTTCTTGTCGAAAAAAGGCATATAAGACGCCGCAGCCGAGGGGTTGATGAAGTAGAAAGGCATGCAAATCGGTGTCTGCTGTCCCACACTGCTTATTCCCATCAGAGAGTTCATAAACGCCAGATCCGGCCTGGTGGGGTCCGCGCCCCCCAACCCGTTCCCAGGCCAGCTCATCTTTGGTTTCTTGGCAGCCCGATCGTCTCCAAACTCTTGCTTGATTTTCACCGCCTTTTGTCCCTGCGCGTTACTGCGCTCACATTCTTTATCTTTGCCGTCGCTCTTCTCAGCCTCGCCCCCGTATCCACTGTCCGTGTCCGTGTCGTTCTCGTTAAGCTCTCCGCCCTGGGTCCTCTGGATGACCGGGACGCAGTTCGCTTGGCTGTCAGATTTCTGCCCATCCTGTGCGTCCCCGGGGGGCAGCTGGTGCTGGAGCAGTGGCGGCGCGCCGGGCTGGAACTGCGCCAGAACCTTGTGAAGGTGGTTGATGAGCTGCGCGCACCTCTGCTCCCGCGCCGTCCAGTTCTCAAACTGACTCAGGTACTGCAGGACCTCTTTGGCACAGGCCTGGAACCCGGAGTGGAACGCGTCCAGATCTGCATGAATGGAAGGTTTCATCGATCGGTCCCCTGCGAAGTTCAGAGAGAGGAACAGATCATGATGCTGTCAGGTGCAGCACATCAGAACCACAGACAGGACGGAGCTGGTGTGCATGCTGACCACATGTTCTACATTTCAAGCAAACGGTTTACTTAGACAATCTAATTTGGCTGAAAAAATGCCCAAGAGGTGCAGTTCCCTCCAAAAACTTGTCTATGAATCTTCCATGTGTTCATCTCACCATTCTGCAAAGCGATGATCTTCTGGTGCTGCTGCTCAGTGACAGCAGTCAGCGCGTTTAAATGCTTCAGCGTTAACTCCAGGACAACTGCTTTCTCCAAGTGTCCGAGCGTCTGTGGACGAAAACAGAAACGTCAAGTTGGCTGTCATGCAAAACCATTTCCCTAAAACTTTTTTTTTTCGAATCTCAAAGCCAAGATCTTACCGAGAGCTTGAGATGTTCGGGTAACAAATCCTTCAGCTGGCCGATACATTCGTTGATTCTGTCTCTCCTCTTCTTCTCTATCAACCGGTGTGGTAACTTGTATGCGTCCTGCTGGCAAAACGAATACATGCGTGATGACTTAAAAGTTACAGAATGCTACATAGAAATTCATATAAATGCGTTGGTTCAAATCAAAACAACGAACTAAATATTAGGAATCCAAAAACAAATTAAAATCGAAAAACGGCGCGCACCTTGCCACCATCCTCACGTTTGATCCCTCGCTTGGATTTGCACATGTAGAGAGAGGGGTAATCCACCCTAAAGTGAAAAAGGAAAAGTGTCCGATTATTCATGAGGCAGCTTATTAGACATAGTTTGACAGGAGTTTGCCAAATAAAAACCGACACTCACCCTAAGAAATCTGCGTGCTCCATGAACTGTCTGTCCTGTAAATGCGGTATTCTTTCATCCATCGCGTCTCTGCTGCTGTTTCTCCGCTTCCGAGCTTCTTTTTGAGGGAAATGCTTCGTTGTCCCACGACCCACACGCGGACGGCTGAAGGGGAGACGATGCGCGGTGCGTGTCCTCCGGTGGAGCTGCGCCTCAGACTGATGTCTATAGTTCCCTGAGCTGCCACTTTGCAAAAGCCGTCGGCTCTGTGGTTAGAGCGCACGCGCGCCTCCGGTCGGGAACAGCTTCCGACTCACGTGTAGGCTGCACCAGCACAAAGTCCGGTAATTAGACCTTGTCTGTGTTGTAGCAAGCGATCGCCGCCGTTCCTATAGCGATCTAGTCCAAACCGTTTCTGACCTGGAAACGTGATTCGTGCGCAAAAACGTCGCGGTGGGAGAAAACACGCATGAAGAGGGAGCGGGATAAAAATCCACAGATGCAGCTGCTGCTCGCTATAGCAGCATCTAACATTGCGGTCTCCAAAACTTAATGTCAGGCTGATTTTGGAGTCTGTTAGTGAGGCAGAAACTATCCTGCACACATTGACAGTTTGGAGGGAACCCACAGGTCTGCTCCCTTCTCTCGCTCTCTTTTTTTTTTTTTTAGATGTTTGGAGCGAAACCTTAATGTCTCCAAACCGGAGTTACATCCGTGCACGTCTCTAGCGCAGACAGGGAGGTTAATGTGCCGTGAATGCAGCGCGTAAACACGAGGCGACCTCCTTCAAGTATATAACGTGTCTGCGCTCTTGCGCGTCCGTGCAGCCTGTCGGTGTCTGTGGTTGAGGGCAGGGTAACCTACTCATACATCAATCGTCCAAAGCTGCGTTGTCAGTAACCATGGCACCGGCCCAGCTGTGTGCTCAAACACGTGCGTCGCGGTTCTTTATTAATCTCAGCCACTCAGATGAAGACCTGAGTGTTGCAAAAAAAAAAAAAAGAAAAGAGGTGTTGTGACTTTCTTTATGTGTCTCGTGTGGCTGCAAGAGCTGATATCTACAGAATGGCCTCATATCCTGAAAATAATCTCTGGATTTATGTTATCATCCCACTATATTTGCAAGTGATTAAAGCAGGAAACGTAAATAAACTGTGATCAAAATGTGTTTTTCAAAAGTTCTCCCATCAACTCCAGGAGCTTAATGTGACAGTCAGCGACACCTGCTCCCCTCCTGTGAACACGAAAGTGTTCAAAACAGTAAAACCTGAGCCCCTGTAATGCCCTCACATGCCTTATGATCACATTACTGCTTCCTGTAAGTCATGTGACTTTTTTCTGGCTGGCAGCATATGGCTCTCTTGTGTAACAGTGCTGACAAAGAATGATCCCGTCACTCGGGCTCTAATGAAGTGTGACCTCCTCTGTGCTGGCTTTTCATTAACTCATACCTGCTGATTTGCCTCTGTACTTTTCCTTTCTCGCCGTTACCGTGAGGCCGGCAGAGAGCTCGCCTCAGTGTCGTGTGTTGGAATCCCCCCTTTGTGTCTTCCTGCCTCCCTTCCCTCCTCTTCCTTTCCTCCTCAGTATGCTGCCTGCTCTATATGTGGCTCTGGAGCCGCTTTAGGAATCCAGTCCAAATGTTTTCCATATTAGTTCAGAGCCTACTCTGTTTCCAAATAGCCGCCGAGCTGGGCTTATGGTGAGAGCAGGCAGGCAGGGAGGGGAAGGGAAGGGACGGGAAGGGAAGGGAAGGGAAGGGGAGAGAGGCAGACGGCAGGCAGGCAGGCTCACCCAACCCCAAACACTGCAACAGTAAAAAGTCGTGAGGACAAACAGGGAAAAGAGAGTGTGAAGCCAGGAGGAGAAAATGGGACAGGGGCAGAAAGGTTCCTCTGACAAGACGGAGGGCAAGAAGAAGAGACATGACAGCCCGGCGCCAGAGGACGGCCATAAGTGCAGGGTCTGTCGTTTCCCTCTGCTCGTCGCCCTGCTCCAGCTGCTGTTGGGGGTGGCTGTCACGGCTGTGGCCTTCCTTATGTTGGCTATCAGCCCCTCGCTCTTGGCCAGGGAGACGCCACATTGGGCTGGGATCATTGTAAGCTCTACCCTTATGCTCGACAGTATATTCGGCGGTTTGCATGGAACCCGAGTCTCCCGTTTCTGATTCTTCTGCATGAACCCCCCCCCTCGGCTACGTCCCCCCAGTGTGTCGTCCATCCTTCCCGCGCTGCATGTCAACACACCGGCCCTCACCGAGCAGCCAGACGGCCGCTGTAGGCATGGGAAGTCACTGGCATTGTCATGTTCTAATAAATCTCCATCTGTCATATTCATCCGAATGCATACACCTGAATCTCCGGCCCTTTCTCAGTCTGCCTGCACCTTCTGTTGTTTGTGTTGTACGTCCAAGAAATCCTCAACATCTGGGAGGATGAGACGAGTCACCCAATCACAGCATGCCGTGTTCCGACTGAACCTTTGAATACCAAAGTAGCACCACAGGACATGATTATTATTTGAAAAAATGTGATGTGCATACTTGTCTGTATGTCTTACACGCAACAAATTTTGGTTACTTTATGCAAAAGTGTGACTTCGACTATATAGACGGTTCAAGATAAGCTGTGAACTTGAATTTTAAAAGAAAGTAACGAGGAAAGCCGATGTGGTTTAATCTGCAGCGTTAGAGGTGAAAGTTGCTGCCAGTTAGACGAAAACAATGAAAACACTTAAAATTTCACACGTCAGCCGAAGTGTGAGAAATAAAAACACCTAAAAATGCAAGTTGTGTAAGATGATGCCACATTTAAATGAGTTTCTTCTTCACTACAAGCGAACAATTGTTAACTTTCTCTGAGAAATCCGCGGTATAAACTAAAGAGAAAAAAAGGTCAATTTTACCTATCACCATAGTTCAGAGTAAGATTTCAGGTCACATTTTAGGAAGAAAAAAAAAAAAGAAAAACATGTTGTTCTTGTTTTGGTCCTATCCTGCCTATCACAGATACCAGCCATCTGTTCTCGAAAACATCCCTGGACACCAGCATCCCGAGTTAGATCCTCACGAGATTCAGCAAAGTGAAAAACACTGAGGTCATCAAGAACTTTCCAGAGAATTCTGAGTGCTTAAGAACCTGGGAAAAACATTTAAATAAGATGCTGCACGTTAGTCACAAGACTCCGGTTGCGCTGAAGAGATAGAGTGTGAGTGTGTCTGTGTGTGTGTGTGTGTGTGAGGGAGACCGAGGAGGGAGAGCAGAGGGAAAGACACAGTAATGTAATCAGATGGCAGCTTACTGCTGAATCATGCAATATTAAGAAACACCACTGAAAAACAGGCCGCGAATGATTTTCAAGAACAAAATTCCTGCTACTAAGTAATAGCAAGCAAGTGTATATCAACTTAGAAAGTATATAATAAAGTGCTGCATGTTAGAGAAAACATAAATGCATGGGTTGATTACAATCTTGTGGAAGCTGAAATATGAGCACCGTGTTAATATTTGTGATTCCTTGAGTCTAACCGAGCGACACGATACATTTTCTGGTGTGTTTCAGTTGTGTCTAGTCTCCATCCTGGGCTTCATCCTGTACTGTATCACCTACCTGCCTGACGAGAGGACGTCTGCGCAATTCATTGCCAAGGTGAGTTTACAGACAACCTGATATGTTTTTTTTTTTTGCTTTTTTTGTGCAGGCGAAAGTAGGAAAAAAAAAGCAGCAAATGATTCAAAACAGATTCGTAAAGTCTCTGAAATTGGCCAAAGATTGTAGAATCTTGGCTGCGGTAAAAGGTACAATCAGAGGGATGGGTTTATTTTCCAAACAGTACGCTTTTGCAGAGAACATTGTTTTACTCAGTGATACAGTACGAGGCCGTTCTCAGGCAACTGTCACTGGCGTGGAGAGCAAAGAATTGAACTGCATTCCTGTTTAAAAGAGCTCTGCGGGGATCCCTGTGAGCAGAGGAGGGCTTTCGTTAATGTGACTTGATCGTACAGCTTAATTAGCCGCACAATATATGCAGCTGGAATTTCAAGGCAATTAAATTCAGTCCACCACGGACCCGGCACCCTCTTTCTCGCTTCCTTCCTTGTTTTATTTGAGTTCTTCTGTGCATACCAGGTTCAAATATGTACATACGGGTGTAAAGCAGAATTTTGCATTAGGAAGTGCACCTAATTTACAAATTAGATTTTTGCAGAAAGGCATGTGAGAAAGCCAACAGAGTTTGTATTTTGTAGCATCAGACTCTCTCAATCACCAAAATGACACCGGTTATCTTCATCTGTTCATTCAGCTCAAGATAAACTGAGATTTGACAACCGAACCTTGGATTTCAGTTTGTGCTTTTGTCATTTCAGTCTCAATTTCTCACCCATAAGTGCTGCTGTATCGGAAATAAAGCACTTCTATAAAATCACTTAACACAGTGTATGTCACAACAGCTGCAGTCAGTCTGCTGTGTCTCTTTTTCTGGCCCCTCGAGGCAAATGAGCTTTAATTTATTAATGCCATTAATTCAAACAGCTCAATGAAGCCGTGGCTACATTATATTCATTCTTGCTTAAGAATTTATGGCGTTGCAGTCGGCTCATTTATTTATTTCAGTTGCCCTTGGTGCACGTCGGGAGAGCAGATAATGTGCTGTAACCGGAGATGTTTCTGATGTTAAATGTTTACCGTGTAGTCAGATGGGGGGGATCCTGACTCTCTGATCACCGATTCAAATCCTCATTTGTTGTGTCAAGACATTTATGAGTTCTGTGAGTTGTGAAGTGCTCAACGGGAGTGTTTCGGGACGCCACACGGACTGCAAACAACAACAATATGACTCAGTTTCTACCTGATCTGGGGTTTCAGATGATCTCTGTTTAGTGAAGCGCATTACGCTCAATAAAGTGCCTTGTTGATGCACTTGCTCGTACATACATCTCCCCGTAACCAACCACACTCCAGATCTCGCAGCTGTTCCAAAATTAACATAAATGCCATTTCAAATCAAGCACCACTCATCACTTGCATAATTCCATAAGCAGCATGTAACTGAAAGGAAAATACACCAGTGAATGAAGGCTGCTGTTATATAAGCGATGGATTAAGATGAAGGTTTAGTGTTATTGAGATTGTGCAATTGCATAAACAGCACAAAGCCTCTGTCACATTTTACAACTGTATTTTTAGACACTGTCTGTTGTTCGGTGCGCTCACACAGGATGTGCACGAAAGGTAGGAAGTGGCTGCAAAGTAACAAGTGTCAGACCTGGCCCTGTAGTATTGTGCAGAGACCTTTGGAGGAGCAGATGCTCAAAGTTAAAAGGAGGCACATGGAGCACGATTTTGAAACACCAAACAGAAACATCCATCCATCATCTATACACTGCTTAATGCTCACTAGGGTCACGAGGGGCTGGAGTCTATCCCAGCTGACTTAGGGCTGACACCCTGGACAGGTCACCAGTCTATCACAGGGCCACACTTAGAGACAGACAACCAAGCACACTCACATTCACACCTAAGGACAATTTAGAATCACCAATTAACATCAACATGTTTTTGGACTGTGGGAGGAAGCTGGAGAACCCGGAGAGAACCCACACTGCACGGGGAGAACATGCAAACTCCACGCAGAAAGATCCCGGGTGTCCTCACAAGGACGCAAACCGGTGACCTTCTTGCTGCGAGGCAACGGTGCTAACCACCGAGCCACCCACCTTGCAGCCCATACAGAAACATGCCTTATAATATAACTGGTTGAACTGTAGCAACCCATATTAATAAACAATGCAACATGGAATCACAACATATCATATCATTGTCCACACCTCATGTCATTGTTAGGGGGCAGTCTGTGTGTGACCTGATGGGGTACCTTGAACAGCTTCTGTTGTGGGGGTTGGTGAGGAGGCTGCTGATGACGATGATGATGATGATGATGATGATGATGATGATGATGATGATGATGATGATATCGCTGGAGGTGGGCTGTATTGATCTGAGAGTGTCGACTCTAAAAAGCGCATGGGAGAGACAATAGCCGAGTAAACAAGTGTTATGTGATCATGACAAGATGCAAAGATAACTAACGTTGAAAATGGCTGACTGTGACCTGCCATACTGCTGATTGTAGGAGACTCTGCAGCCAAGGCTGACTGAACTAAACAGAACAAGTTTTTATATTTATGCATATTATATTTCATTTGTGTGTATATATACAAATGTTATGAACGAGTACTGATATGTTTCAATGAGAGGTGGAGAAAATCAAATTCTTGTAGTTATTGTTGTTATTGTCGTATTTATACTGCCATAGTCCAAAATTATGTGAATATGTATGTACATTGCATCATTTTAGTGAAATAACACAACCTCATTGCCTCTAGAACAGGGGGTCGAATCCTGGTCCTCGAGGGCCACAGTCCTGCATGTTTTAGATGTTTCCTTCTTCCAACACACCTAATTCAAATGATCAGGATCGTTATCAGGCTTCTGCAGAGCTTGATGATGAGCTGATCATCTGAATCAGGTGTGTTGGAAGAAGGAAACATCTAAAACATGCAGGATTGCAGCCCTCGAGGACCAGAGTTCAACACCCCTGCTCTAGAAGCAGGACTGCAACTCACGTGACAGTAAATCAGACATCTGTCTAATGCACTTTGCCCATGACAAAGGAAAGGTATAGAAACTAGAAAAGCCCTCAGAGCGTAGACCTCCTCCAAGCATCTCATCTCCACCCATGTAGTGATTTCCATCCAATGTTAAAGCCCTGCAGTCATTTTATCGACACTATTAGGTTTATGGATAATTAAAACACACATTTAACATCTGAATTAACATTGACATCATTAACAACAAGCTGTACTCTCAAATATTTGGTACACTTCCGTCATTTCTGCAGGTACTTACTGGCTTTACTGTGCTAACGCTACGCTACGCTAGCGACTAGCATTGTTAGCAGTGAAGATGATGGTAGTGATACTCCATCGGCGCTTGTTGTTAAACATTTTCCCGTGACATACCCACGGAAACAGCGTATCGGCCCAATTTGCAGCGTATTTTTTTTCAGGCTGGCGAGAATTCTGACATGGAGGAACTTAAGCTAGGTTAGCACAACTTTAGCAACGGAAATGAAAAGCATGACCGACGCAACGAAGCGCGCGTCAGTCCTCATGATGACACATGTCAGAGAGAGTTAAAGTGAAACAGCAGACATGTCGTTATGAACTTAACTGTCAGTAGCTCCGCTCAGCCCACTCCTGTAATGCTACCTGGCTGTAGCTGACTCCTGCTCTACTGAGAGGACAGCGGTGAGGACTGAGGACTGAATGGAGTCAGAGCTCAACATAATTAAAACAAGCCAGACATACTTTCTCCCCTCAGCACGCTGTGTGTGTTTAACCAGCGGCTATAACTTATGAGAGGCATGTGCAGAGTCACACACACAGGATGCTCACTTCACTTCTTCAGTCATCTTGTAAGAAGACACAAGCGAATACTGTCACAAAACCTACCATCAGTTGTTAAAGTCGTCCCTCTGGTCTTTGGTTTCTAGACTAGCAGCGTTAGCACTTAGCTCCAGGGCACTTCTGGGCGGCGAGTGACGTCTACGTGGGTCATGTGACCGACCGATCTGAATTATTATTGTTATTTTTGTTTTATTTATTATTTTGGGCCACACAGACTTTCACACACACATTTACAAAAAAAAAGAAAGAAAGAAAGAAAAAAGGGCACTTGGGGCATCAAGGGGCAAAGGGGCAAGTGCCCTTGCAACCTAAGCCCCGCCCCTCTGCACGTGCCCAGTATTGTGGGTAATCTCTTTGAACTGCTGCAGGCACTGAGCCAGCATGTCTGTTTCTAAGCTACAGTTTTGGCATTGTGGGGTGATCATGAGACAACAGACTAAAGCCAGATTATAATATTTAAAGAAAAAACACACTGAAATGATGATGAGATCTAATTGAAGCTTTCAAGTCTCACCTTTAGCTCTCTGCCCTCCACAGCTCCTGTACTTCGTCCTGTGCATGATCGGCCTGGTCATTTCAGTGCTGGTCATGTCGTTTGCCGGACACCACTACTCACAGACCAGCAGCTTCGCCTGCGAGCAGGCTGGACAAGACTGCGCGTGCACGCTGGACAAAGAAGACCCAATAGCTCGCACCTTCGTCTACGAGGGGGTCGGCGACTGTGAGGTGATCACAGGTACGCTCACCCTCTACTTCCTGCTCCAGATCATCCTGAACTTGGCCCAGGCGCTGGTCTGTGCCGCGGGGGCCTTCATCATGTGGAAGCACCGCTACCAGGTGTTCTTCGCCGGCCTTCAGATCGGCTCCATCTCCACCCAGCAGTGGCATAAAGTTTAAAACTCTGCCGCCTGTGTGACTTCACCCCGAAGGACAGGAACATTTGCCTTTTTGTCGTGTGCCTTAGCTGGTTTTCTTCCTTCTGTCAGTTACATTAATAAGTTGTGGTGGATGTACTATAATGGCTTTTTGCACAAATTTTGTATATCATAGAGTTAACTTTGTCGACAACTTCTTGAATGGATAAAGATGTAAAGACAACTGGACTACTTTTGAAAAACAAAAAGTTATTTGTGTGTCACAGTAATGGATTTTTCACCATGTTTTAAATGACCTCAACATTTGCCCTCCTGACATCCAGCTGACATACAACCACAGTGCTGCAACCAAAACAGCTCTTTTGTTCAGCATCCCCCCCAAAACATCGACACATTCGAAGAAAAATTTCCTTTGGTTTGAATTAGTGGGATTTATCGATCATGATTAGTTGCTTCTGTGACACTTTAGGCGCTACACTGAATCATTGTGTTCTCAATTTATGATTTGTAAAGGTTACATGATACCGCCTCGAGCAGCAGAAAGCAGCTTTCACTCAACGAAAAGGTCAAACATTAAACTAAACGCGACAGGAGATATTAGTAAGATATCCTTTTTGATCTCAGTTTAATAAAACGCTCCATTACTTTATTGCTTTGTGCTCATATAATCACATTGTATTGAAGTTTTTATTCTGCTTTGTTTGCAGCTTATTTTTAGACTGTTGGAAGCAAGGGGGGGAAAAAAACATTTTTGTAGCGAGAAAAGGCAATTTGGTGGAATCATTTCATGCGTAATCTCAGTTTTGACTCATTTGTTACTGTATAAACAGAGATTGAGTAAAATTCCTGAAGAAAAAACAACAGCGAATTAGTTTTTCGGCTGATATAAGTAAAGCCCAGACAGTCCAGTGCGCTAAAAACTGATCCTGACAGGCAGTAACACAACCTGGGCAGACTACACTTCATGAGACTGGAACCAGACTGAACTGGGCTGTGGCTTGCGAAGGTGGATGCCAGGCCAGTAGCCAGCATGACTCAAACAGCCTGTAGGCAGCCACAAAGGGAGGGAGGAGAGAGCTGGGGTGAGGAAAGGGGGACTCAGACAGGCAGCTGGACTGAAGTATAGCTTCATGCTTTCACTGTGCTCGCGTTTCTTTTCATCCACAATTTTAGCTTTGTGTTTTAAAAATACAGGCTGAGATTTCTTTCATTATTACTCTCACCTGAGGTGCTGACAGCAGTCGCCCACAGTCTGCACCTGCCGAGCGGGGAATGGTAAACACGATGCCGTTTCCATAGCGAATTAGACAGAAAACGCACCCGGAGGTACAGTGTAACTCGTGCAGTGTTACATCTGTTTAGTCGATGACGTTTGATTGACTGAAGGTAATATGGAAATCATTTCTCACAGAAGCCTTAAGTGTGATATTTGAGAGCGCAGCATGTGGATAAAAAAAAAAGATGCCAGTACATGCATTTCCTCTTTTGAGACCGTCGTATCGTTTGTGGTTACAAATACAAGGTATTTTATAAGTTGCTTGCTGTTTCCTTTTTTCCCCGTTTTGCCAACACACATATAAATTCAAGGCCAAAATGTCAAACATATTCAAATCAATAAATTGACTTTTGCAATTAATTCCATTATTATTATTATTTTTCCCTAAAGATTGATTAGCAAGTGGGCATCGTTATGTTGGTATCCTGACACACTTTTAGTCTGCGATAAAAGGAATTTCAGGAGAGCATATTATTAAAACTGATGGAAAGCACATATAACAGAATCTGTTGTTTTCAAAGTAACGCTAGAGTGCAAATGTATGACTAAAGTGTGACGTCAACAAGAGACAAAGGTGTCTCTGTTGAGGCCTTGGCTGTGATTTACGGTCATCATAACTGTTGATTTCTACAGGTTAAACGGGGTCTGCACGAGAAACAGGCGATGCATTTTCCACGTATTAAACACGGCCTAAGAAACAGCATCAAACCCAGTCATCCGGTGTCGATGCAGCTCCATTTATTTATTGCTGGAATGATTAATTAACTCTGTTTAATGATTCACACGCCGCATACGCTCACGCTGCACGTACAGCGCCACGCACAAGCGTGTGGACCTGTTTGCACAGTTCTTTTCCATGTGCTTGTTTTGTGTTGTGATCTTGACGCATCATGTGACTACCAGGGCTCACATCTCGCAGCCAGACACAGGAAGTCACATGCCAGTCATGATGGGGGCATGTTTATTTTTAAAAATAACAATGACGAGGGACCTTCCGTCCTCCCACTCGCAAAGTAACGGCTCCCTGTGTGGTCAGTTGATCTTCCAAAAAAAAAAACAGAATGATATCTAATTCTGGCTGGTGGCAACTCATGCTGCTGTGAGTCTTCAGAGGAAACTGCAAAGACAGATCAATACTTCCACTGACATGAAACACAGCTTTCACTGCAAATCAAAAGAAAAAAAAAACCCTCAATGCTCCTCAAGTAGTAGAATTATTACTTTTATACATCCATTGCATATTGCTCATGTCGTGCTAACTATGCTGCGTAAATGTAAATGGACGTTCCTGCAAGACGTCATGTCGGTTTCTTAGAGTGCATTTAAGTCAAAACGCCTGACTCAGTCAAACTGCTTCCAGCCAGCAGAGGTGTTTGGGACGTTGCCCTGTATTTATTGACCTTCCCTGGGTGTTTTCTCACTCTCTCTCTACTGAATACACACAAGCTAAGCATGTGACTCTTAACTGCTGCTTGCAAAGAGATTCAGAAGTGATCCAAATGTGTCTAAGGTTGTGTTGATAAAGTAAATAATACACTGGTCACGTGTAGTAACAAAAAAAAAGTGTACCGAGAGGGTGAAATAAAACAGGCCTCCTTGTGTGTGTGTACTCCTTGAAGTAATTTCATATTCCGCTAAGTAGAAATCAAACTTAAATGTTTTCCCTTCATGGTCAAAGCACGCATTTCAGCCGATAAAATGATGTGTTTTGGAAGTGACGCCGACCGAAGCGGTGGCATCACAATATGGCCGTGAGACTTTTGCCAGACAGTAATGACAGTCCTGATATCACCCTCTCCCTCCCTTCGCTGTCTGAGTGCAATACATTCCAGTAATGCTGCACTTTACCCTTCTTGTCTATGCAGTGACAGCTGCTCACCATTATGGCACTGCGTGAACTAATTTTAATGGCTGTCACAGGCAGCAGGAGCAAATGCAGGCCTGCCAGCGTAAACACTGAACTGAAGCCAAGAAGGATGGTCTTCTCTGTAGAGGGTAAATGACAGGACCGGATAAAAGACCAGTTTACTTTCTGCGATTCGTTTGTCATCTCCAATATGGTACACAAGCGCAAACATGCAGATAATCGAGCAGCCACAGTTTTTAATGATCCTCTTCCATAAGGAATTGAATAACTGATGTGGATGACGGGCCTCGGTATAAGCAGCGCTTCAGATGTTTAAGTGGACACGCTTACAATGAGTTCCTTTTACAACTGAGCTGTCAGTGTTCAGGATAGATTGGTCAAGTTTGCACTAAGCGTTTCAACAGCTCATGGTTTTATTTTTGCGGTTTCATCCATTCATCATAAGTATCTACATATGTCAACCTTTTCCTTGTCACTTTTAGCTACACCAGTCATTTAATCAGCTGTTAAACCCTCGTTACAGTTAAATATGTTTATTTTTCTTGCCTATATTCTGTATTATTTCATCTACGCCTCCCAGAAGCTGCAGCTGTTCCTCTGGCTGAGACTGTTTTATAAAACAAATCCAAACATTGTTTTGTAAATTAACAACTTAATTTTGCCTTTAAAAGATATTCAGCTTGAATGATTGCAAATCTCATGAAGCAGACCGATACGAAGCCGAAATAAAGATTCTGTCCACGCGTTGTATCAGCTAATAATAAGCAATGAAATAACAAGAGTATCTCAATAAAAGCAGCACAGTGACAGCATGCACAATGCATCTGTTGACTTTGCCGTTAATATTGGATGACTGGCGGTGCTGCATGAGCTGAAATATGATCTCGTCTGAATGCGGCCGGGTCTTTTCCAAGGTCCCGGGTTCCCGTCATGGGCAAGTACAAGTTTAAGTAAGCCAACACTGGGTGTGTGGGTGGCTGGTGCAGAGGGGGTCAGGGTAGATGTGAAGGGGGGGGAGAGTACACTCATTCATCCCCAACAACAACAACAACAACAACAACCAAGACGAACTCTGCTCGAAAGCTGCTGACTCAAGACACGCCATCAGTCTCGTTACAAATTTATTATTATAACATCTGACCACATAAAATACATTTCTCTATACACTTTGTTTCAACAGAAAGTGTCACAGGACAGTCACCATCAAGCGCTCGTAATCTGCCGTCCGTTTGTGCAAGTTTAAAAACACAGACTTAACAATCAACTGCAGTCCAAGTGAGAATGATGGAGATGATTTACACTAAAAACAAAAAAAACAGTAGAAGACGATACGAGCAGATACAGTAAATATTACGGTATTAGCTGATATCTCTAAAGACACAAGGACGTTGTAACACAGAACCGCCATCTTCAGTCAGTACTACATCATGTACCAATATAGGATTTAAGACTTAAAGGAAGAAATTTCAAGTAAGTTTTTGCACAGGTAATCATTATTTCCATTCACATTTCTGTTACTTATATACTCTGTAGAAATCTGCAAAAAGGCAACTGAAGTGGTGCAGTGAATGCATATATATATATAAACACAACACAAAGAATTCCAACAACAATCCCCCAAACTTACCAACGTTTCCAGTTACTGGTTTGACTTTTTTTTTTTACATTTTTAAAAAGTGCACTTTCAGCAATTGCAGTGTGCTGTTTTATAAAAGTTAATGAGTAAGGCAGCTTGATTCCTTGTTTTTTTCAAAAATAATACTCCAGTTATGAACGGAAAAGCGTTCTCATAAATACTAACAGAAAAGGGACAACACTTGATGTCAGTGCTCTTCCCCCGGAGGCCTGTGGACCGTTCGCTGACATTTGTGAGTCTGGCTGATCGGCACCATGACAGTGGTGGAACGCAGGCCAAGACATGGCTGTACACAACTTGACAGCACTTAACCGTTAACCTTACGCTAAGGTTGGCCTCGACCCCTGTCTGGCACACTGACACTGCACTGGCAGATGAGCGCGGCGCCTGGCCAATCATTCACCCAGACGTTTGTGTACGACGGTGTGTGCAGACGGCCTGCGGAGTGTGTGCTCCTTGCGGCTGAGTGGGCACATACGGCACATTTTGTATCCAATAAGGCGGTGTTTGTGTCACGCACACAAGGCACCGTGTCAAAAATATGTGTCAACACTCGCCTCTTGCAAGTTTGACATCAGTAAATCGTCGGTGTACATCTGTATTGTTCTTAAAGGCTGGAGTTTGTGTGTCTCTGTCGGGTTTCATAGCGACGGCGGCAGTCACCGTGTCCTGTCGGAGCTTTTTACACCCCTCAGTGGGCCGGGATGTGGTGGTTGGGCTGAGGGGGACCCAGGAACCCGAGCCTCTGCTTGTTCTTCCTCTGTTCTGTCATCTGTGGAGGAGACAGAGAAAACACATCAAGCTGGACTTGCATTGGGCAATAGACATGATGCGCAAACATGTATTACTGTCCCAGTGGGCAGTTTATTATGCAAGACACAATATTACAAGTGGCTGACACATAATTATAGCATTGCAGAGGGAGGTATTTATCTATTTGAACTGGCACTGCAGGTAAAGTGATGCTCTAAATCTCAGCTTTAAGAGGAAGTGAATTATTTAGATGAATCAAAATTTATCTGTGGCTCATTACTTTAGGAAATGAATCAGGATTAACTGACGTTTGCTCTGAAATGTACTGCGTGGAACCACGAGAGCTCTTGAGTGTGTCATTTCAAACGTTGCAAAACAGTTGTTCCGTAAACAGTCGGGTGTTCATTTTAAATTTCCTGAGATGTTACAAGAAAGAAATTTTCACCTAACTGCATTTAGCGCTGTTGTTGTTGTGACTGGAAACTGTAATGTCTCTCGGAAACTTCATTAGAGGACGGAGTCATGTGTGGGTGTGTTTGTGTGCAGAACTGTGACCTGATGTTGTATAAGAGTGACTGTGTGTGTGTGTGTGTGTGTGTGTGTGTGTGTGTGTAGGGGAGGAGATTTCATGAATAAGAAGTATCACATTTGCAGTGGTTTGGTTGCTGACGTCACAAATGGTTCTGTAAACCCAGAACTCTAATGCATATTCAAGGAAATCCTGTCGGCCGAGCAGAACCCCAAAACCCACACGGTCCAACAGCAGCGCAACACAACCTCAGCTGTGACAGCGTACAGCGCCATGGTCAGCTGAGGTTGTAAAGAGGGTGGAGCTCCCAGTCAGAAACAGTCTGGTGTGAGACCTGCAGGCCAGTGCTCGTGACTGCACGGCTATTGTTGGGTCTCACTTAGTTCTGCACCGACACACTCATGTCTTGTATGGTGAATTTTTTATTTACAGTAAAGGTGGAGTAACATCCTGGCCAGCTCCTCTTATTAGTCAGCATAAACTACAGTAAACCTAGATAAGATTAAGACTGCTTGCAGTTGACTCAAAGCAGAAGATAACGCTTTGGTGTGTTTGCTCACGGGTGCTTCAGCAGC